CCATTGTAGATAAGTTACTAAAACTGCTTTCAAACTAAAGGTTTGAAAAGGGATCACTTATTTGATCTGTTGCAATTCTGTGACCGTTTGCTAAGATTTTTTTAACAGAGAACTCTAAGAATTTTCAGAATTAAAAATGTCTAGGTTTATTTGATGATTTCACAGAGAGAATAAATAGCCAAAAAGAGAGCAGGAAACATGCCTAACTAAATAAAGGAATGAGCATTTGGGAGAGAATGCCTCCAGGCTCAAGTGGTGGGCCAGGTCCCAGCTTGCTGATTTACCAACATGCCTGATGTCCATCCCAGCACCAGTAAGAGTTGCTACACCTAGGAGTGGCCTGATGTCCCACAGGTGAGGCAACTATTACCCTATGTGGCAGTGCTTGTCAATTGCTCATGGTCCACGGAGCTGTGGCTGTGGGCACCATAGCTTGAGCTTCTTTTCCTCTTTGGTGCTTTAAGTTAAACAAGTCCTTGTTGATGGACAGTGTCCCACACTGAGCCTTCAAAATGCTTCCCCTTAGAAATTTAGTTTGTTTTGGAAGATGGTTGCTGAAAGCCTTTGGATACTTGAAACAATATTCATGCTAGTGTTTTACCAACAAGCACTGGCTACTGTAAAACCTGCAAAATAAGGATTACTAACATTCATTCATGTGTCTGTGTGTCAGGCCTGGAGTATGGTATTTCACCTGCATTTTCTCATTTATTATTTACAAAACAATAAAGCTCGTGGTATAGGTATGTATGTTTTGCAGATGAGATGAGATAAGAACACTCCAGCTAAGAAAGGTTAATTTGCCCAATGTCACATGGCAAGAAAGTGAACCATGATTCAGATTCAGGCCAACTGACCCAGGGCTCTTATCTACTATGCTAAAAAAGCCACTCAGCACACACCAACATTGGTAATATCATAAAAACAGCACAAACGTAAACTACCCAGAGATCAACTTAACTGAAAAAATGCAGGTGATAATATAAAATGTTCAGATTTTTATTGTGGCACATAAAAGACTTGAACGAATGGAGAGGTATACTGTGTTCCTGATGAAAGACTCAACAATGTAAAAATGATCATCTTAAATTCAACCCAGTCATCTTAAAAATCCCTATGCACATTTCATCTGGAAGAATAACTGTGTGCAAAGAGCCAGGACAATTTTAAAAGAAGGAAAAAGTGAAATTGTAAGATGGAATAAGGGTAGGGAGTTCACAGGGAGTGTGTCATGCTTGATCAACAATTAAAACAGTGTACACTTGGAACCAAATTAGAATTAACATTTCATAGCAAGTGGATTATTTAATAAATAGTCTTGGGACAACTGACTAACATTTGGGGGGGAAATTTGGAGCTCAACCTCACGCTTTATACTGAAATAGACTCCAGATGAGTTTGAGTGTTAAAAAGAAAGAAAAAAAGCCAGAAAAAATACAGGAAAATATTATATAGCTTTAAGGAGGGAACTAGTTTGAAAGCATGATACACAAGTCAGAAATCATATTTGAAAAGGATAGATGTGGCCGGGTGTGGTGGCTCATGCCTATAATCCCAGCACTTTGGGAGGCCGAGGCAGGCGGATCACGAGGTCAGGAGATGGAGACCATCCTGGCTAACACGGTGAAACCCTGCCTCTACTAAAAAAATACAAAAAATTAGCTGAGCGTGGTGGCAGACGCCTGTAGTCCCAGCTACTCGGGAGGCGACAGAGCGAGACTCTCTCTCAAAAAATAAAAAATAAAAGGATAGATGTAACTACATTAAAAACTCAGTGTTCTTGTACTTCAAAAAACACAGTAGGCTGGCTGTGTATCTCACACCTGTAATCCCAGCAGTTTGAGAGGCTGAGGTGGGTGGATTGCTTGAGCCCAGGAGTTCGAGACCAGCCTAGACAACATGGCATGACTCTGTCTCCACAACAGTTAGCTAGGTGTGGTGGCACACAACTGTAGTCCCAGCTATGGAGGAGTGGGGGAAGGGGGGATGAGGTGGTAGGATTGCTTGAGCCCAGGAGGTCGAGGCTGCAGTGAGCTAAGATCTTGCCACTGCCCTCCAGCCTGGGTGACATGGCAAGATCCTATCTAAAAATGTAATAATAATTGTTCTACTTTATGAGCAGAGACTATTAATAAGCAATTCAGCAAAGGAAGAAATTAAAATTACCAACTAAGCTTTGTAAAAGGTTTATTCTTTGTAGTAATAAAAAAGTAACGGTAAATACGATACCATTTTCACCTACTGGAGTCACAAAAAAAAATGAAAATAATAATATTCAATGTTGGAGAGGACATGGGGAAAAGGATATTTCCCTAAAGAGTAGTGTTGGAAGAATGTAAATTGTAAAAATTTCTAGGAAAGGGGGATAATTTGACAATGAGCCATTAAAGCTTTAAAATTGTGTATACTTTGACCTAACAATTCCCTTTCTAGGGATATATGCAAAGGTAACTATTGGAAGTTTCCAAAGATGTAGCAATGTTCATAATAAATAAAAATTAAAAATTTAAAGTAGCCTAAATGTTTAACAATAAGGAATTGGCTAAAAAAACATTTTTGATTTAGTGAGACAATAGAAAGCTATGTAGTCACTGAAAGGATGTTGTATATATTTATTAGGAGAGGCAGATGTTTACGTGTGAATGAGAGTGAGAAAAGCAGATTACAGAACAATATATAAAATATCCCATTTTGTACAAAAAAGATATATATTATTATCACAGGAAAATCTTTGGGGAAATAAATACCAAAATGTTAATGTAGTGAGATTATTGGTATTTTTGTTTTGCTTATTTGTATTTTCTATTTTTTTAACCAATGAATAGGGACTAATTTTATAATAATTAACTTTAAAAATCACTTCTATTATAACAGCTGAGCAAATATTAATGTTGTGGACAAAAGAGGGCCTTGCCTTTGTTGTTCAGTTGTATATTATACTCTGCTTCAAGTGGCTGAAATTTCAAGATAAGGTCACAAAAGGAAAACATGCAATTCAGAGCCTTATGTTCTATAGAGATAGACTCCTGGATCTTTGAAATACTCTCTTACCACCACCCAATTTCCAAGAAATTAAACCTCCTTGGGCAGTTTAAAAATTATTCAGGGTGACATAAGTGAAAGGGGTTGTCACATCTACTCTTCAGATGAAACATTTTTAAACTTTCAACCAGGCTTTCATTTGAAATACATTTTGATATGGTTTGTCTTTTTTTTTTTTTTTTTTTGAGACAGGGTGTGTCTCTTACCCAGGCTGGAGTGCAGTGGCACAATCATAGCTCACTACAGCCTCAAATGCTAGGACTCCAGCAATCCTCCCACCTCAGCCTACTGAGTAACTGGGACTACAGGTGTGCACCACCACACTTGGCTAATGTTTAATTTTTGTAAAGATGGTGTCTCACTGTATTGCCCTGGCTGGTCTCAAACTCCTGGACTCAAGCAATCCTCCTGCCTCAGCCTCCCAAAGAGCTGGGATGACAGGTGTGAGCCACCACACCCACCCTGGTTTGTCCTTTTGTTCACTTCTCTGCCTCAGATAAAATTCTGTCCTCCCCCTCCTTTCCCATTGTTCTTCCCTCCTTATGATAGCTTCTGCCTCTGTCTTCACAACATGAACCAACACCACACACAAACATATACACAATGTCTCCTGCCCTTTCATGGATAGATCCATCATTATCTACCTACTTATCTATCTATTTATCTATCTGTCTTTCTGTCTGTCTATCTATCTATCTATGTGTGTCTCAGTTGCTCCGAAGTCCTTTTAGAAACACATGGAGTTTCACTGAGTAGGAGAGCACTGAAGTAGGAGTCAGAAGAATATCACCTATTGCAGACTATCCATACTTATGAGCGAGGGAGATACCAGGTCTGTTGATCATTATCATTCAAGCGCTCCCTTGGAAGCAGAGGTCACTTCAAATAGAGACCTGCTAGGATGTGAGTGAAGGGAGTACAGAACTAAAAAGAGAAATGCGAGGAAGGGAAGTGCCACCTGTTTTCCAGGAGAGTTGGTGGAGCTGTGAGCCCACCAGGAAAAAGCTGTGGAGCCAGACACTTGGCAAAGACAGCCAAGTTAGAAGCAAAAGACCAAATCAGCCAACAGTGCGGTCATGTTCAAATACCATGTTGATCATTTATGTCTGCTCACACCCCAGGATGCCCAATATTTGAATTCTAAATGACACTGAGAAGGCCCCTCCAGCTCCTTCGTAGGTATGAACAAAACGAGCTATTGAAGACATGCCAGGACCACAAACTCTTGAGAGAAAACGGCATGTGGAAAATTAGTTTTAGAAAAAGGCAATTTGGCATGTATTCATAGAGAATGGGATTAGATTGATTAAACGGGGAACCCCCAACTCCATCTGGTTCTCTGCATCAGCACTGGGGAGGGCTATGAGGGGCAAGAGCTAGGGATTATTTTTTGGCTCTCATTAATTTCTTCCTCAGGAATCAAATGTAAAATTCAGACTGACCTTCGTTTCAGAAATTGTAAGCTGGACACCATTGGCTTCCTGATGGTTTGTGATCTCTTCAGTCACCTCCACAATGGAGTGACCAGCTCTCTTTAGCTTCTTAGAAATATATTACTGTTGACCCGGCACAGTGGCTCACACCTGTAATCCCAGCACTTTGGGAGGCCAAGGTGGGTAGATCACGAGGTCAGGAGATTGAGACCCTCCTGGCTACCACGGTGAAACCCCATCTCTACTAAAAAAAAAAAAAAAAAAAAAAAAACTAAAAAAAAAATGCAAAAAATTAGCTGGACGTGGTGGCAGGCCCCTGTAGTCCCAGCTACTCGGGAGGCTGAGGCAGGAGAATGACGTGAACCCGGGAGATGGAGCTTGCAGTGAGCCTGGATCGTGCCACTGCTCTCCAGCCTGGGCAACGGAGTGAGACTCCATCTCAAAAAAAAAAAAAAAGAAAAGAAAAAGAAATATATTACTGGTTTTTTGTGTGTCTGTGTGTGTCTGTGTGTGTTTTTTTTACAGTGATAATGAATCCTAAACCTGAATGGCACTCATGTTTTCCAAGAGAAGCAACCCCTGAGGGAGTCCGCTGAGCCTGCCAACTGAGGATGAAGAGGATACAAATTTAATTAATTTCAAATCAACATAGACACAAGAACCTTTTGCTGTTTCTTCCAACGCCCACTCTTCCTAATGATGGCATCACTTGCACTTGGAAGAATGTGCAATTGAGAAGTACTAGGAAAAGGCCTGGCTGCCATCCATCGCTGCCTCTGAGGGTGGAGAAGGAGGCGGGTGATGTGCTCACTTCTGATCAATGCGCGTTGCCTCCTCTCAGCCAGCTTCTAGCTCACTGCACTCACTCTGCTCATGCTAAATGTTCGTCACCTTTCTGCTTCATTCCTTAGGGCCTAAATCAGGAAGCCGTTTTATCAATGGTTTCCTTTTGGGCCACTAACCAGCTTTGGATAATTTCCTCTGATTATTCAAGTCCTCGGACAGGTAAACTACATTCAGCAGAACTTTTCTCAAGGAGTGTTATGTCATGGAAAAGACACCAAACACAGCAAGTGTTTTAATGAAAACACCATCCCAGGGGGTCAGTGTGCTCTGCCTGCCAAGAAGACACAGTGAGAGGGTCCACAGTCCTGATGAGATGGCGTTTGGTAACTTGTAGACCCTGACATGGCCAGGTCTGGTCACCCTTAAGAACTTCTCAGAGAAACTAGGAATCTTCGGTGAAAGAACTTATGTACTCCTCAGCTGAAATTCCCTTGCTTGTCAGCATTTCTGCAAAGCTCACACTTGTTTCACCATCCCTCCCTTGGATGTGACATGTGGGTAGGAAGTATGTGCAGGTAGGAGTCATCTGTCAGCCTATGTTTCAGAGATCCTGAAGGTGGTTTGAAACAAACAGAAGAGAAGCAGGAAATATCTGTGCCCGTGGCAGGTATCACTCATCATGCTTAGCATTCTCTCCTGCCAAGCTGGGATAAGCCTCATGTCCTAACACAGCACCCCAGGAGGTCTCTGTCAATCCATCAGAGATGACATTCTATGTGGGATTTTTGACATCCTTGTGCTAAAAGCAATGGCACAAAATGGAAAAGGGCCCACTGACCACACCTACTCCAATAAAACCGATCTCCATTTATTCCTTAATTTTCTAAATCTGACCCCTTTAAATCAATCTAGCAAATTGAGAGTCCTCAGCTCTCCTTGGATACCTGATATTTTATTTCAAGAAAGACAAAGAAGGAAAATTTTATTCATTTTGCTACCCACATATGAACCAAGGGGAGATGGGACTACCCAAACATTTGCTGCCCAGTTTTGTGTCTTGTGCTTGAAAGTCTGCCCTAATGCATAACAAAAAGTACTTGTCTCCTACCTTTTGGGATCCCTTTAACAAGTATTTGCCTTCTGAACTACGTGGATAATTTCAAAGGCAGAGTTCCAGACCAGAAAGGTCTTTCCATACAATGAAAGCTATAACTAGCTGGTTGTGTTTAACCACTGTTATCACGCTATCCTGGGACTGCATAGAGCTTTGACAAAAGACAGACTTCATGGTACATAACTTCAACAGATTTGTCTGTCATATTCTCACCAGCACATCTGAATGAGGCTTTGTGTTTTCCTTGCTCTCTTGCATGTTCCTTTTCAACTCATGGCCCACAGTGACTCTCAGATATTTATGCCAAAATTGCATACAATTGTTTTCTGAATCATAACTTGTCTATTTTTCTGCCTATGTGTGCTGCTTCCAGTTTGTTTCTCATCAACATTTTGACTCTCAGAAGAGCCTCCATTTGCCTCTTTCTCTCTTTAGGTATCTAAGATCTTTGAACACTTGGGCCTTTACATTTGATCCAACCCTATCAAATAATGAACTTTTAGAAGTTCAGAGAAGTATCTGGGGTCCTGGAATCTCATGTTGATGAAGTCATATTTTATAATACGATAAAAATATTATCATTCAGTATGTTACATAATTCCAATTCTAGAAGAAGCAAATTTCAGTGACTTGTCATTGAGTTTTTATTTGGTAAAGCTATACTTGTACAGTGTACAAATCACTTTTTAAGAAGATGCTTTGTTCTATCAAGGTATATGAAGTTGGTATACGGCCACAACAGTCAAGCCTCAATTCTTGTACCTTGTGTCTTTTTAATTACTGTTTAATCAATAGATATCATATGTTTATGACAGTTTCAAGAATTGTTTTTAAACCCAAACTTAATTTTATGTTTCAGACTATTGTTAGAAAAACAAAACAGAACAAAAAAACAAAAAAATCCCTCACTAATTTGCCCTAATAGCCAATCAGAACAAAATCTGACTTTAGAATATTTAGCAGATATGTAAGTTTGATTGCATTTTTGTACATTTTAAGCAAACTAGGTTAACAACAACATAGCCTAGTCAAACTTCTCAGGAAACTTGTTTTAATAAACATGTAAAAATACTCATTCGTGACTCTTGACCCAGTGGTGTGACTCCTCCCTCTGGGAAGGGCTTTGTTACCCAATGCAAGACCACAGCCTGGATCCACCTTGATGTAGGTGGCTCCTGGATAACCACAGCAAACAGGTGTGCTAAAGATGAGTAAAACTGGTCTTGGGAAAATAATTTCATAGTTTTTTATTCCCAGTTATGCT